TATTCAAAACCACAATGTTAAAAAAATGGTGAACGGTAACAAATTATTATCCCGCACCTTGGAACGCACGATCCGCAGTAAACATTCAAGGCCTAAATGATATGGTAGACAAATCCATGGAAGAATAAGGAAGCTAGTAAAAAGTTGAGTAGTTTTTTTCTCGACATGTCTTTTTAGGGAGAAAATCCGCATATCTATTAGATTTCCTATACTTAGTTTGTAGACAAAATAAATTCGGAATTTAGCTAAAAAAAATCCAACTGACTTTAAAAAAAAACACTTTTATTATAGTTTTCAAGTAATAATAATTTAGTTGGAATGCGAACCGCACGTCGTGACAATAACAAAAAGAAGAAGAATGAGGTGCACGTAGTAACAGTCACGAGTGATACAGAACAACCGAAGCCATGTGCTCTTCTGACATTTTCTTTTGGTTCTATGTAACTACCCACATGAGTCCTTTTTCTTCTTCTTTATGGCTCAACATAAAACTTTTTCATTAAACAAATTATTCATACACTTTTGTTTATCAAACTCTTTAACATTTTTAACAATCCAATTTAACATAATAAAATACTACTTATGGACATAATTCTCTACCTAAAAGTATCACTATTCTATCCGCCATTTCGTTTCCAACTCGTATAATCATTTGCTATTCTATCCGCCAATTTGTTTCCAATTCGTATAGTAAACACAAAACAAACTTTTCCCAAACCTGTTATATCTTGTTTATATGATAACAGAGCCGGCCAAGAGTCCTTCTCTGTCATTACGTCTACGGTCTACCCACATGAGTCCTATGGATGGGTCCCCTCTTTCTCAAATTCGCTAACCAACATATTTCAACACCTTTTTTATTTTTTAGAAATGAAATATATGGGCCTTTATAAGCCCATTAATATCTAGTCCATTTTCACTATAAGATTTTCAAAACAAAAGCCCAATTAGCCATAATTCTGAATTTCCATATTTTTACAGGTTTTGCTTCTCTCAGAATCTCTCACACTCTCTTTCTTCAGTAAGCAGAATCGATAAGGTTTTCAACATATCAGCATATTCTTTGTGAGTATACATCTACGTATTTAAAAACATTGCAAAAAGGCACAAACGAAATGTATGAGCCAGAGGCGAACACATTTATTTACATCTTAGGATTATATTATCTGAATAACCAAGAACATAAGTATTGTATCAAGAAGTATCAACTATATCAAGGTAGGTCACAAAAATAGAGAAAAAAAAAACTTCGATTTTGCTTTTTGGAGGATATCGTGAGTTACAAGTAACTTAAAACGGTATCATATAATTTGTATAGTATCCCTGTAACTCATCAACCATAGCTTCTTCCGCGTTCATGACTGCTCAATACAAGGCACGTTTTCGGATCAACGCCTCTGTGTTTTTCCGGAGCTACTTCTCAGTTTGGCTGCTGCACATTTAGATATGTTGAGAAAACAATTAGCAAAACAAGACCTATGATAACAATCAGCAAATGAATGATGAGCAAAACTATTGTTTTACCCGCGAATATAGAGGATCATCAAAAATAGCAACATGATAAGGTAAATTTTCAGCAGAAGGCCAGTTTCCTCCATACTGAGACCTAGAAGAAGCTTCCAAGATCTGGCTAACGTAGTAATCCGCGGGACTTCCTAATAGATTCCATTCAGCTAGTTGCTGAAGCTTTGGATCATTTAGGAAACTGAGATTGCTGAATTGTAGGTTTAGATTAGCCGATGTCCCGGGACCGTAGCTGGTTTCTAGGTCAGGAGTTGAGATATCAGAGGTTTTACCGAAGAGTCCTGAGTAACTTGCAGAACACGTTATGTCCCTATACGTCTGTTGAAACTGCAGATTCGGATCTTCTTCTTGTAAAGGAATATTCATGGTTTCGTCGGTACGAACCCATGTGAAATTCTCAAGCTGTTGCTTCATCTCTATTCCAAAATCTATATCTATTTCATTCTGCAACTGCATAATTAACAACAATGTGTAGGGTTTGTTTTATACATATCCAAACATCTTTAATGCCCAAAACTTATGATCATTCTCTACCTCACTTTTGCAATCCGAGGACATAAGTTGCTGCTGCTGATGTTGTAGCATGTTCTCCTGTGAGTTGTAATAAGATGCATAAGTTTGGTAAAATGAGACCTTAACTAATCATATGGGAGATCAAACGGATTATTATACCTTATGAGCACGGATTTGATCCAAAGACTGTCTCAGTGAATTTTCTAGTTGCTGCAAATCGTCTACGCGGTTGTTCTTCTCCAGCTCGGTCCAATAGCTATATCGTAAAACCATATTATAACTCACAAATGAGATAACAAAGGAGAATTTAACTGAAACTATATAGAAGATCCATCTTGGCACCTTAGTCTTGTGTGTGATTCTGATAAGTGTGTTTGCAGAAACCTGACTTTTTCGCTTAGAACCTGAACGTTTACCGGTTGCGAAAAAACTATTGAATTATGAGATATTTCAGCATCATCAT